TAGTGGGTGAGTTATGTCACCCCCCAAAAGATATTCAAGTCCTGACCCTTGGTATCTGTGAAAGTGACCTTATTTGAGAGTAGGGTCTTTGCAGATGTAATCAAGGTAAAATGAGGTCATGTTACATGAGGTCATGTTACATTAGGATAGACTCTTAACCCAATGACTGTGTCTTTATGAAAGAAGTGAGAGGGAGATTTGGATCTAGAGACACAGACACACAGAGGGAAGATGGATGTGTAAAAATGGAGCCAGAGATTGAAGTGATGGATCTACAAACCAGGGAATGCCAAGGATTGCTGGCAACCACCAGAAGCTAGGAAGAGGCAGGAACAATTCTCATTTAGCACCTTTAGAGGGAGCAAGGCCCTGCACCTTGATTTCAGGCTTCTAGCCTCTAGAACTCTGAGAGAATAAACTTCTGTTGTTTTAAGTCACCGTATTTGTGGTAATTTCGTATGGCAACACTACGAAACTAATATAACCTACCAGGTACAAGTAGTAACCTCCAAGTTGTGATAACCTGAATGTCTCCAGACATTGTTAAATATCCCCTGGGCAGGGTGCGGGGAAGAAGAGAATCACCTCTAGTTGAGAACCATTAAACAAAATCTAAGTCCTATCAAAGAATAACCTAGTGGGTAAAACATTTAAAAAAACCACAGTCTCTAGAAAGAGCAGAAATCCTAGTTTTATTTGGCATAAGTTTCACTGTTAAAATATCTTAATGACCCAGGTGGAGGTAGTTTGAAACATTAGTTTCCACACTGCCTTCAAAATATATTTTATTGCAAAAATCATATTTTAAAGAAAAGGTCAATTTATTTGCATTTCTGTGTGACCAAGTTTTAAAAATAGTTTTACAAGGCTGTGTAAAAGTACATGTTGCTTTTGTCATTAGGCTTTTTAATTGTTCTTTTTTTTTTTAACTAATCTAAAAATGACCTTCTTGTCCAATAGTTTCCATGTATATAAAAAAATATGAGTTCCCTATCTAGACTGTTACCTGTCCCTGACTTAGAAAGTCTGACTTATAAATGTTCCCATCAGGAATTAATTTTCTTGCCAAAACTTCTTTTCTTTTCCTGACAAACTCTCTCTGGGGTATAGTGTCTAGGAATCAAGGTAGCCGTATTCCCCTTCTCTTCTTTTACTATTGCCGCTAGGGACAGGGGATAGGGATCCTATATTCCTAGAGCCCAGTGGTAGAACTCTAAAGGTATTGTTTACAAGCAGTATTGGTAATTAGATATTTTAATGCTATAGTTCAGCTATATCATGGCTTAAATGGCTTTTACAATTTGGTGTGGGATCTCATGGTTATGTATATTGATAGTGTTGCTTCCACAGGGAAATATATTCTGAGTTTGAAACCTCTGTTTTATAAATAGTATATGTTATCCATTCCTAGGTTGTGTTTCTGTAATTGGGGTGCACATCTATATTGCTATTTATCTGAACGCTAATACTAAGACTTATTAAAATAATTTTAATTATACATGTTGATAGCAATCAATACATTATGTGGATGAGAAAGAGAAAGGCAGGGAATGGTATTTATCCTAATAGCTGTTTCTTATGCCTTTCTTTAAATGATGTCCAGACCCTTCCAAGATTTTAAAATATAAGAGATTTGCGGGGGGGATGTTAGAGAAAATGCTTATTCTTAAATAGAGATATAGTTGAACTGATTTTCTGACTTAAATAAAAGCAAATCTTAAAACCCAATGCAGTTTTTTAGTGTTTATCTTTTTTTTCTTCCCATTTACTTCAATTAAATAGGGCCCCATTTAAACTAGTGAAAATGTTACCTTAATATTAAATAGAAATTATAGCATGTTTATTTCATTTAAAATGTTAATAGCATAAATTATAAACCCTGCTAGGAATGTCTGTTTTAAAATGTAATATGTTAAAGATATCTAAGTGGAGATCATTTTGCAATTTCCCATTAAACAATATAGGTGAAAATTAGAATGTTACACAGTTCTTTGATGCAACACCCTCATGCCCCATTGCCCAAGTAGAGGGAGAAAAATCTTTTAATCTCTGTCCCAACTACTAAAAGCTACACTTTTATGTTGGCATTTTGGCCACTACCTGTAAAAGAATGC